CCATAAAGTCTTAGTAACTTGAAAAAGTTCTCTTATGCTTACTCTGGCGCCTGGCTCGATATCTCTCAGTGACGATGGTGTTGAGCTCCTCTAGCTTGCTGATCACGGACTGTCAGGTTAGGATTCCCTCCTCTACGATCTGGTGTGTGAGTTGGGGTCAGTCTACGCCCTTACGATAAAATCTATAGTACTTTAGTATTCTTCTCTAAACACTTAACTTATACTAGTGGAAGTTGTTTTGTACTTCCACTCTTAACAATTATAACTAAAAAATTCTCCGGGAGTTAAAGTTACTCTCCCTTCTTAAAGCTCAAAAACTTGACTTAAATCTTTTGACTAACACGGGAATCCCTCACTAGCTAGTCCGGTTGCCAACTCATAGGTATGAGAAGCCATCCAGGCTTTCCTTAAACTTAAACTTAGTATGGGAAGTCGTAAAGATTCATCCCCCTAACATCTTAAACTTATCGTGGTGGCTCTTCATCACGATTCTCAAGGGCATAACTGCTGCCCATCTTAAAAATCTCAAGAGCATAACTGCTGCTCTATCTCAAACTGTCTCCAAAGGCAACGGACTGGCACTAGTGACTAAAAACACTTAAAACGACTTCACCTTCTTGAAGGTGAGTTACTTCTTAAAAAGAACTTGTTTCTTAACTTCAACAATAACTTATAAACTTAAAGCTTAAATTTAAATAAGATCTCATGCACATTCACATCAAGCATAGCTCAAACAAAATCACATATCATCAACCATAAGCACAATCAAACAACGACATTCACTTGAAACTACTCAAGACTTGAAACTCTTGAAAGAACACGTAAGGCGTAGAATTTACCCCCTTTACACTCACCTTGCAAAGCTGACTCCTCGATTCTTTACTCGAAGAAATCCCTCCTAGCCGAATTATCTCGATGAACCTATTAATAAGAAAGTCATCTCCTTAGTCGATCTTTTTCGATTTAGAAATCCCTTTTGGGTCACTCGAACATCCTCTCCTCACATCCAGCCCTCGAGACTCGCTCCCAAGGTCTCTTAACCCCCTTCAAAAATTTTCTAAAACAATCCCTTCAAAATCGACCACTTTTCCTAATTAATTTAGTCTAGGACGAATTTTCTACCTAACTTGAACCTTCTTCAAAATTCGGATCATAATTTTCCTACATCCCTCATGAGTACCTATACCCTGAAAAATTATCAAACCCTCGTAAACTCCTCGGAAATATTTTTATTTAACTAAATTGAATTTTCGAACAATTTCTGAAATTAAAATTACATCTTCAAAAATCCCAAATTAATTTACAGCCATCTACTAGACCTCCCTAAATTTATAAAAATTTTAAACTCAAGAAAAAAACCCCATAAGGACTCAAAACAATTTAAACCATCTAAAATATATTTCTGGAAATTCCCAGCAGGTTTAGTGACCATCCATATTCTGTCACTAAAGGCCTGACGTCTGTTGCTAAAACCTCAGAATTGCACACTTACGAAAAATCCCCAAATTGATCGATCTAACTCAAAGGGATCAAGTTTCCTTACTTCTAGAACGCGCCTAGGCCTAGGTTTGACGACCCGGAACGTTGATCTCCTCATTGATCGAACCCTCAACGTCACCCCTAATAACAACCGAGCTTCGAATTAGTCTAACGATAAATCGCGTTTAGAACTCGCGAGAGGGGTTCGTTATCCTTACCTAGAACGCGAAAGGGATGGGATGGGAAATCGGGGTCGGGATCAAGAGCCGGAGACAACTCCTTCTTCTCTCCCTTTCGTCCGCGCGGCTGGGGAATAGCGGCGGTTGATTTTTTTGCTCGCTGTGAAAAGAAATTGGGGCGGGTGTTTGGGGACTTGGGCGAGGGTTTCGCTGGGGGGGATTAATGGGGCGGGGTTTAATTTGCTGGGGGGAAATAGAGATAGGGTCGGGAATTTAAGAGAGACGGCGGGTTCTTGCTGGGGGAAATAATGGATGGAGGGGCCGGCCCTCCCTGGCCGCCCCATTATGCCTCTATATATTTTTTTTAATATAATGACAATATAAATAATAGGAAAAATAATAATAATAATAATTATTATTATTCCTAACCCGCGGTTGTAACTCTTAGTACTCAACTGACAACCCAACCGATCACGTACTATGGTCGAACCATAACCCAAAATTCAGGGTGTTACATTTCCTCCAACCTTATAAAAATTTTTTCCCCGAAATTTGAACGGTAGAGCAATCACTTGAACGATTTTTATCACTGTATTCGAAGGAACGATGCTAGTTGAGATATAACATTTCCCTCTCCCTTCCAAGGGGACACTCTTAGGAATACCATATCCCCCACTTCATAACTTCGTGGGTTCCCTGGTCTCTCAGCATTACTCTTCTGCCGGTCCTGAGCCGCCTTCAAGTTCCGGCGAATCAACTCCACCTTCTCCACTGCCTTTTGTACCATCTCCGGACCTTCTAGTTGTCGCACGCCCTCTGCATTCCAGTGCAACGGTGTACGACACTTACTCCCATACAATACTTCATATGGAGATGCTTGTATCGAGCTGTGATACTGGTTGTTGTAAGCAAACTCCATTAAGGGTAAATGCTCGTCCCAAGCTCCTTCCATGGTCAAGACACACGCCCTCAACAGGTCTTCCAGTGTCTGAATCATCCTCTCTGAGTGCCCGTCCTTCTGAGGGTGATATGCGGTAGAGAAGTGAAATTTAGTGCCCATTGCCTTTTGAAGACTCACCCAGAATCGTGTCGTGAAGCTAGGGTCGCGATCAGACACGATACTAAGTGGAACTCCATGCAATCTCACTATCTCCCTCGCATACAGCTCATGCCATTCATGAAAACATCCATCAATTAAGTAAAATCATCAATCAAACATGGAATTTGTCACATACATCAACATAAAACCAAACCTAGACCTAAGGTTCTTAATCCCAAGAGAAGTGGTTGAGTTTCTAGGGAGAAGAGAGAAATTACAAGTTGGAGCACAAAATTTTCTTCTTCTTCTTCTTCTAGGCTTGATTCCTTGCTTCCAAACTTGATCAATGCCTTCAATTAAGCTCTAGGATCACTCCAGAACTTTCACTCTCTCACTAGAACTCCCCTTTGGTGTTTAGCGTCAAAATCCAAGAGATAGAATAAATTTCTCCAAAAACCAGCCCTCTCTCTGTTTCCTTCAGCTCACGCCCCTTTTATACGCAGATGGACGCCTGTTCACGGCCGTGAACATCCTTCCTGGACCGTGATGTCGAGCAAACCCACACCATTTCACTTAGTTTGTTCACGGTCTGGGGCTTGAGTTCATGGTTTTAGCGATCGTGAACTGACTAGGAACCAGTGAGATGCTTAAACCGCTCTGGACTCTTGGCGCTTCACGATCCAGGATTTGGTTCCTCCAATGAGATGCGCCATTCATTCTGGTACTTCAAGGCTTCACGGTCTTGGCTCCCTTTTCATGGTCCGTAAGACCATGAACACTCAGCTTCCACTGTGATCCTCAATTGCTTCCACCCTTTGACTCGTTTTCGCTCCTTTTCATCCCACTTTCGATTCCGGGGTCTGTTTCACCTGCTAGGATTTGAAATATACTAAAACAAAGCGCAACCTAGCGTAAAATCATACCTCACGGAGTACAAAGGCATCAAATGTCTAAAGAAAATGGGAATAAAATGTGTACAATTGGACCTGAATCACTTTGGTACACTACAGACGACATCACTCCTGATAGATCTAGCATGGGATGAATTTTTTTTTACATCTAAAGTTACAAAGACAGTTGTAGCTAACACAGTTTTCCTGTTCTAGCGTATATGGAAGGGTCGATGTAAAGTCACCTACGATTTAACATTATTCTGAAGCCTAGTGTTATTTTGCCAATTGACAGCTCAGGCAGAGGAATGGAGGATGACTGAGGAACAGAAGGCTCCGAAGAAGGAAGGTAGACAACCCATACCAAACAACGTACCCACTAATCAGTTTCCCCAGAGGAACAATAAGGATGTCACTTTCCTCATCGGGGGCATCATAGTTCACTTTGATGGTGCTATGCAGACCAATGAAGGAAGTGCTTCAGCCTTCGTTGGCCTATAAGGTGATGGAAACATTCTTTTTGCCCTTGGTAAATGCTATGATGGCACCTCAGACGTTTTTGTAGAGGAATTAATTGCTCTTCAAGATGCTATGACATTATGTCTAATACATAACTTTTCTTTTTCGTTGTTGCATTTTGTGGCAATTCTGAATTGGTCATCAAACATGTGACGTCCAAGGAAGCTTCTCATTCGATAGGTGGCGCAATCTTGGTATGTGACGTCCAGAAGTGCCGAAGTCACGATCGTGACATTGACAGGTGAACCATGACGTCAAACTGAAGTGCACTGTTTCATTTCAATTCTCACAGTTTCGTTGCGAATTTCACAGTTGAAACTGTGAACAGTGACTTTCAATAACTTCTCTACTTTGTCCAGGTTTTGATTCCAAATGGCCAGATAATCGTTTCTTTCGCCATATTCACATGATAGGATCTTAAATATACTCAAGCAAGCACAATCTAGCATGAAAAGGCTTGATATAAAGGAATTCGATTTGGACACTAACTGAATCGTTCCTGAATGAATGAACCTATAGGGGAGTGCCGGACTCAAGAGATCACGTCCCGCAGACAGATGGATCCGGAACTGAGCACTTTGAATATTATTTTGGTTTAATACACTTGTATATCCAAAACTTTCACGGTTGTGCCAATAATATCCAAATTTCCCGAAATACCACTTATGTCCATGCTTTAAAGTTGTTCTTTGCCAAATCTATCCATTTCCCAATATATTTTTGGTTAAATACACTTGTATATCCAAAAACACCGTTAAAGAATGTGAAGGAATTGGATATAAGTGGTATGTCGGGAAATTTGGATATTATTGGCACAACCGTGAAAGTTTTGGATATATAAGTGTATTTAACCTATTATTTTACTGAGTTTTGGTCTAACCGGAGAATCAGTGTGTCGTTTAATGAAATTTATTTGTTGAATCCGTGGAAAAAAATAATTTTGGCAGCCTCGGCATTAAATTCTGGCTTCATCGCTACTGCTTGCTACATAAGGAAGCTTAACTATTACTGATGAAAACAACAACAGCACTTTGAATTGATAAAACTGATTCTTTGCTCTACACATTAGTTTGAAAGATCAATACAGTTGATGGTTTCCAATCAATTACATGGTCACTTAAACAACTACAGAATTAAGAAAAAGAAAGACAATAAGTAGTCAACAGTTTTCTGCACTTCAAACCACCCAAATTCAACCCCCAGTCCAGCTGAATGCAGTAAGAAAAAGAAAGTTAAACGATCATCATCATCAATACATGGTGAACTTGGCTTTGGTCTTTTCAAACACTTGTTCTGCAATAACAGCACCACTCCCATCAGCCTGCTTGATCTCCATATTAGCCTTCTGGTAAAACCCTGTACCTCTTAAAGCGTCGGCAATGAAATCATCAAACCCTATCGCTATTGCTGCTTCAGCTTTCGCCCCGTACACCAACCTCTGCCATTTGCAAAAACACAAGGTAAAAGAAAAAACCCACCATAAGATTTCAGTTAACACAATGGCAATGCTGAAGATCAGGAAGCTTTAATTTCCCAAACGTACTTTGATTCTGGAAAGATGGATGGCACCGAAACACATAGGGCAAGGCTCGCAGGATGCATAGATTTCACAATCGGACAGCTCGATTCGGTTGAGCTTTTTACAAGCCTGCAAAAAAGTAATCAAAGTCCGCTGATCGAGCTTCAATCGACAAGATTTGAATGGCTAAGAAAGGGAAACGACTCCTGGGGTCTTAGTTACCTCTCTAACAGCGGTGACCTCGGCATGACCAGTTGGGTCGGTGTGTCTGAGAACCATGTTGTGACAGCTCACGACTACTTCGTCATTGCAAACCACAACTGCGCCAAATGGGCCTCCATCCCCACAATCAACGCCTCTGTATGCTTCTTCAACAGCTCGAGTCAAGAACTTGTGGTCTCTGTCCTGCACAGCTGTTCAGAGACATAAGCCGAAAAGGATGCACCCATTAGAACTTCCACAACTGGATATTCAGTAGTCAAATGGATGACTACATTAATTCAGGCTACTCTTAGGAACAAGGAAATTATCTTTCTTGCTTAGACATTGCTTTCTTATATTGACTTCACTGCAAAGCCTGCAGCAGTTTAACACCAAATACAAAAGCCACTGCAAAATTACCTTCCTGATGAGCAGCAAATGCAGAAGCTACTGAGATAGTCCCATCTTGAGTAGGCAGCACTGAGTTTTTCAATCACAGAAAGTAAAAACCGTAAGTTTTAATGTTCATCCTTGAATTTGAAGAACAGACAGCGATGAATTCAGATCAAAAGATGCTCAGAAGCTGTACTGAACATGAGATGCAAGAAAGATTCAAACAAAGCAAGATTGAAAAGATATGAACACTCAGCATTTGCCCTTTGTACGCACTAAATCTACTTCTTAGTTACTCCATGGATGACTGGAAAAATTGGACTAAGTAGTAAGCCTTGCAGTGGAGTACAGAAGTCTCAGGATGAAGGAATTCCACTGTGATCGCTGACAGATCACGGTTCTTAGTTTCTGATGAGCAATTCAACAAAATATTGCACAAAAGAGCAGCCTTTCTTCCAAGTTATAAACAAGATGGTTGATGAACACCCTCGACCTGATTCAGCTCAGAATTTCGTGATGAAATGATTAGATCCAAGTAATCACAAGCGTAAAGCACAAAGGAATCTCTAAGTATTCCGACCGAAGGAAAGCAGCTCTTCAGGATCTGTCCACGCGTCCATGTAAGTCTCCAAAACGAGAAGGCCATCAGTTCCTAAAATCATAGAATCATGAAGACCCACTGAAGAACAGATCACACTTCAACCCAGAATTCCATTGACCCAGAGAACACGCGGAGAAGAAAAAAAATCACTATCCACCATCACTATCCAAGCCAAAACGAATCAAACCTCAACAACCCAGAAACAAAAGCACCATTAGAAATCCAAATTCAGCCATAATCCATCGACACCACAATCAGAACTCCCCCGCAATTTCCCGAATAGAGAGAATGCGAGCTGGAAAAAGTAAAGCCGCAGAAGAAGCGGTAAAAAGAAACAGATCACAAGAGTGGGGAACGTTTACCGTTGCCATCCTCCATGACCGGTATCAGAGAATCAGAACAGAACCTACAGTTGGGGTCCCTGGAAGATAGAAGCAGGAGGAAAAAATGACGCGAGAGATTAGAGAGAGATGTAGAGGAAAAAGAGGTACGCGTGGAAACGTTTCAGACTCAGAGAAACAAGTCCACGAATGTCACAAAGGATTTTATAGACATCTCGCTCACAAAGCGCCTGTGGCGTTATTAAAACATTGAAGGAAAAAGCGATGAGTACGAGGTGTCAAATGGATTTATCCATGAATTGTTGGATTGGATTGGTGAATCCATAAATTAAATAGATTGGATTTAATGGATTGATGGGTTCGTAAATTGGATCAAGTGGATTGGTGGATTATCCATGAATCCAAATGACATCCTCAGCTAGGGTTAGGAAACGGTGCGGTCTGGTCCATACTGTAGACACCCCATTTTGTCCGGGTCAATTATCTAACTAAAAAGTTTAAACGTTTGAGTTTGAATCTAATGGATCTAATAGGATCGATTGGTTACCAATCTCAATTTTTTGTGCAACACAATTAATAATAAAGAAGTAGCACATTTTATTAAAATTATTACCAAATCACAATTACAATTAGAATTATAAATAACAATTATTACATGAAAATCACAATCAATGCAAGCTCCTTCCCTCTCTTTTTGAAGCCAGCAATGGACCTGCCAAACAACAAGGAAGCAGCCAAGTCAGATCAGGCCCAGATTAAGACAAGCCCACAGTTCAAGTCTGAAATTTAGGTCCTAACCTAAAGCAAACCCAGCCCAAGGTTAATGATTGGTCAAGCCCAGATGAAAGGCCCAACGCCAGCGACCCGAGTCGAGTCGGCCCAACGACCCCAACCAACAGACGAACCGGTCGAACCAGAACCGGTCCGACCGAACCCTGGAACCACCGCCTCCTTTTTCTATAAAAGCAGACTCAATTTTCATGAACCGGACAGTTTTTGGGGAGGGGAAAATAGTAGGAAAACACTGTCTTTTCTTTCAGTCAGTTCTCTTTTTCTTCTTCTTAGTAGTTCAGAGAGGGAAAGTGCTGAGAAATAGAAGGAGAAATACAACACACTTTCTTTTCCTTCTTTATTTTCTGTAAAATAGAAACAGAAGACCTCAAGGCAAACATAAGCCCACCCAAAGAGGTTTGTATTATGATAATATACTATTGATTTATTATCTTCTCTACTAATCTTCCTTTTTTCAATATCATTCAATTATTGTCGTTATCAGCTCTTCCATTCATCTCTGTTTTATTCTCGACCCATTTATCTACTTATTTCAAGCACAATTAATTTACTAACTAATTAGTCATAATAGCATATAACTATCTCTACTCTTATGTTAATCTAATTACTAATTACTTATTATGCTATTTACTCTCTGTTATTTACTAGTTCGTTCATATATGTCATAATTCAATTCTCGCATCGTTTTTGCACATACATAAACACAGATCATGCATACATGGAATGAAAACCAGATCTCACATATTCATCCGCAACCATCCACAAACAGATAAAAAACCAAAATTCCATATAGTCAAACTCACTCACAACCTTATTGTAGTGTAATCCAGCTTCAGTTTTATATCTCATAAATCCAAAATTAAGAGAGTTATAGGAGGCCTACCTAGATCTTTTTTTACCTGCATCAATACAAGAATAGAAGTCAGAGTCAATTGAAGGGATATTAAATCAAAATAAAAAATATATAACAAAATAAAAAAAACCTACCTGTGTTGTCGTCGGCCTGTCGCCGCCGGCAACTCGCCGCCCGAAGCCACCTTCTCCTCAACCAAAACCCTCTCACAAATAAAAACAAAAATAAAATATCAGAATCCCAATTTTGAATCTAAAATCCAACAAAATCCGAAATGCAAACAAAATCTTAACCAGGTCTTTTCATCATCCTCGTCGTTTCTACGAAAGAGAGTAGATCGAATAAGGGGAAGATAGATCGAGGCCCATCTCGGCTCTAGGGTTTGTTTTTTTCCGGAAATAAAAAGAAATCAAAATGGAAGGTTAGAAATCTAGAATACCCATTAAATCAAAAACGATAAAAAAAAATAGACATGCAAGGGTAGAAATTGCTTACCGACGACGTGAGGGCTTTCCAGATCATCTTTTTTTCTTCTTTTCTCTTCAGAGGGTTCTTTCTCGAGTTCCATTAGAGAGAGACGAGGGTGAGAAGTTGAACCTTTGCTCGTTTTGAGTTTCTCATCGGGTTTACAGATGAGAAGGGCAAAAGAAGGTGGCGGTGATCGTCGATCGAAGAGAGAAAGAGGAGTCGCATTTCTTTTCCCTCAGTTTTGCTCCTGTTCTAGAAGAAGAGCTTCCTCTCTTTTCTTCACGACTCAGAGGAGCAAGGAGAGAAAGGCGGCTAGGTTTTTAGGTTTTTTGGAAGAGGGAGGAGAGAGTGACGGCGGCCGTTCGGGGTTTGTTTAGGCTAGGGTTTTTGGATTTCTCTAGAAGGGAAGGAAGAAGAAGAGGGATCGGCCGAGAGAGAAGAGAGGAGAGGGGAGAAGAATCGAGAAAAGGAGGGCGGCCGTTTGTAGAGCTAGGGTTTGGTTTTTCGGTCTGAAACGATGAATTTATACCCACCAATAAATGACAAAAATGCCCCTAGGGTTTCTAGTTTATTACGCGGCCCTGCCACCGCGTTTTTGGGCAATTACAAAAATGCCCTTCCCCCTTTTGCTGCACCAAAACCATAAAAAATTTTCTCAACCAGCGTGGATCGAACCCGCGTCCTCGTGTGTGAAGACGCACCGATCAGTTAGCGAACCAGTTGGGCTACTGGCTCATCATTCGTCACTATAATCATCCCGCTTAGTTTTCTTTGTTTAAAGTTCTTAATACGAAATGAATTACGGATTAAATTTATCTCGTTTCTTTTCAATACATCACAATACTTCCTAACTACTAAAATCTTTGCATTTATCGTCATAATCTTATAATCATCTAAATGCATTTTTATTATTAACAAAATTATAATACGAAAATCATGATCAGTGGAACGTGATTACAACTAAATTATCAAAGTTCTAACGAACTACGTGGACTTTGATCCCGACTACTCGGGTACGTAGGCAACCAATAGGTTCGAGTCCAACTAACCAAAATTTCTTATTTTAATTTTGAGAATTGCGTCAATAGACGTATGATCAAATATTAATAACAAACACATAATTAATCGAATCATAAAGTTAAAATACATCAATAAAGCCACAAATAATAATACACCCAACCCTTAAAAAATTATCGATTTAAGTAGTACCCATCCTGGGGCGTTGTGGGGTGTGAATACACTTCCCCACACGTAACTGTACTCCCGAACCCAAAATCTCAAAATTCGCAGACCAGATCCCGGTTCCGACCCTAAGGTTGGAGCCGGACCAAAAAGGTGTTCGATCCACCACAAGTAAGGTCGATGGCGACTCCGAGCAATTCATGACGGATCCTCCAATCCCGATTTCGGCGGGGCGGTTGCGACAGTGGCGACTCCGCTGGGGAACTGTTGAGAGTCGAGCTACATACTTATATCGATAAGCTTTTCTTACTTTCTTTTTGGGTGTTTATTATATTGATTGCGTTTTTTATTTACTTTGTATTTAATTTCATTTCGTACATAAGAAGCTCTATACCCGAGCTCTCCTTTAGAAATTGCAAGGTGTAACGTGACTCCTACAATAGTAGGGGAATATCGTGAAACTTACTAACCAAGTTGAACTCAAATCCGAGGTTGATTTGAGGTATCCGGCTAAGCTTGAAAGAGCAATAGTAGGATACAACTTGGGTATTTTCCTAGATACCTTCACCAACCATTTAGTAAGCTTAGCAGCCGCCCAACACCATCTCGTCTAAACCTTGTCGTCAAATCGTCCATAACTTTTTATGTTTATTTAATTAGAGAATTGTTTTTATATATGTTTGCTTGTGATGTGATAATTCGTGCATTATTGATTACTCATAAATAATGTGATTTTATTATGCACATAAAAGCTTTTCAAAATTCATGACATTAGCATTCATCCTATTCAAAATCATAAAAGATAAAGCACATGCATCCATTTAAGTCATCTTTGCATTTACACATTCACATCATTTAGCATCATAAGCATCATATATACGAAACCATTTAACAAATAATAAATTTGTCAGGGTTCCTTAAAATTGCTCGCCTACGAGTAAAAAGTCAGCCTTCTAAGCACTTCACTAGATCAAAACTCAAGGTCTTCATGGAGGCATTTCAGAAACAGATAAACGACATCAATGGGAAGCTAACAGGGTTTGATGAGAAACTGACGGGTTTCGATGAAAAACTGGTCGTTTTTGATGAGATGAAAGGTCAACTCAACACAATTTTGAGCATATTATCAGGAAAAGGAAAGGGGGTTGCGACTAACGAAGAAGAAGTGATATTTGACGAAGAAGATCACTATGAACCACCTAAAGGAGATCCCTCGGGTAGTAAATTTATTCTCATACCTTCGAAGAACACATGTGACGAAGATGTCATGGGACGACCAAAGCATGACAAATTAGAAGAGACTGAGAAGCAGGAGGAACATGGGGTTGATGCTATGTTGAAAGAAAAATTGGAACACATGAATGAACGAATAAGAAGCATAGAAGGATTTGAATCCTATGAGCCTATGGATGCATCACAACTATGTTTAGTCCCAGATGTCATAATTCCTCATAAATTTCAAATGCCTGAATTTGAAAGATACAATGGCACTACTTGCCCAAGAAGCCATCTAGTCATGTTTTGTAATAAAATGGCTAACTATATTCGTGATGAAAGGTTGATGATACATTGCTTCCAAAATAGCTTGAGCAGCTCCGCGCTGAGATGGTATATGCAATTAGAGAAAACGAAAGTGAAAAGGTGGCAAGACCTAGCCGATGCATTCATGAGGCATTACAAGCATAACCAGGTTTTGGCCCCAGATCGGGAGGATCTACGTAATATGGAAAAGAACGAGAAAGAATCGTTCAGAGAGTATGCTCATAGATGGAGGGAGAAGGCGGCAGATGTTCAACCCCCGCTGTCAGAAAAGGAAATGGTCTCAATCTTCTTCGGAACATTGAGGGTTCCGTATTACAACAACATGGTGGGAATTACC